CCCCTTTCAGAGCACTATCATAACATAATCACCCCATTCATGAAACTACTGCACATCGCATTGGGTTTGTTAAGTTGCTGTGTACAGTTTTGTATCATGTTTTTGTATATTTGTCATGTAGGAGCATGGATGACATAGGCTTGCCCGGGAGAGATCGTTAAATTACTGAAACATGCACGGATGACAACTAAAACCTCTTCAGTCATGTGTGAAATCCGTCAGTCTTAGGTAAAATCCTAGCCAAGCTGGTGCCACCTAGTGCCTCCGCTCAGTTTAATTTTTCTCCAGTGACTAGGTCAGGAATCAGAATACACAAGATGGTTTGCAAGAATCCCGGAAGTGTGAGTTCGGGCACCAGCCAATCTCCAAAGAGCCATACATTCTGTGTTGCAACAATTCCCATGATCGAGGATTTAAAGCTGGAACAAAGACAATGTTTGGTGAATTTTATCAAGGGGAAAGACGTTACTGCCCTTCTTCCTATGGGATTTAGGAAAAGCTTAGTATACCATTTACCCCATTAGCAGAGCATTACATACGTCACAACCAAATAGCAGCGATTGGTCAAATAAAAAAAGCACCCGCCTACTGTCGAGTGAACGAATTCTAATGCTGCGAGGTCAGACAGTTTCCACAAAGTAAAACTGGCTGATGAATCAGGCTAGTAGACTCCATTGCAAAAGGAGAAATTCACTTTGTCAACTGGATAGATGTTTGTTTTGGTAGAAAAAATAAACTTTCATAGAGTTGATAAATTGAATTTCTCCTTTCACCACAGCTCTCCAGTCATGCTTTTAATGAGGGAACATTATATTATGTTAAAAATCTCCAAAAGATCGATTTTGCACAATACCCCATATTACACAGTATTGAAAACATGGCCTTATAAGTAAATTCTCATTGAAGGGACAGTGTGCAAGATTTTGATTTAAAATTTCATAAACATGACGTATCTGTGTCCTCAGATATGAGGCCCACATGTTCAAATCAAACATCGCTCTTACACAGGCGTGGGTAATCCATGGAGCACCATGACAAACAGAAAATATTGTGGAGGGCCAAAATGCTTAACTTAATTCTGCATCATATTAATTGTATTTTTTTTTAAAAGAAAGAAAAAAAAAAAAAAGCAGTAAATAGCATTGTTTTGAGCTGGTTAGACTGGTAAGAGTTTATGTTATGACTAAGCAATGAAAAGGTGAGGTTACCTTACAAAAAATGTCATTAAAAACATGTCTAAAATAAAAGCAATGCAGCTTTAGTTCCTGCATGAGGTAAAATTATAAAATATGTTTATTTTGTAGTTCCAGTGAGCTTAAACGGGCCCGTCAGAGTCAACCAAAGGGCCGTATGTGGCCCGAGAGTTGTCCAGGTCTGTTCTTACATGTCTGTGAAGATAAGGGCTCGGATTTCCAACCTATCTGGAATGCTGAAAGACCAAAAATGTGGCTGTTTGCTACAGGTGTTCCAATCAGTAGGAGCAAAGAGGGTGCTCTTGGAAAAAAGGATCAAGATTCAAGACACAACGGATTCCAGGCAATCCAAAACAGTAGAAAAAGTAAACACATCGCACATCGTGCGATGTGTTTACTATCTGGAATGCTGTTTTATTCTGTATGTGTTCTTGCACACACCAGGCACACACACCAGGTTGACCTGTGGTTCAGTTGTGATTGACAGTACCTCAGGCTAAAGACAGTTCTTTTAAGACTTTGAAGGACAATCAACTTGTGGCCTAATTATCATCACGCTGGGTCATTTGGACAGCACAATTTAGTCAAGATTTATGATTGTCATAGAGTCTGTCAAAGCAACATCAGGCCTCTAGGCTTGTGTTTTGGACTTTTTTGCTGCTTTTTGGGTTTTGTTTCCATTTTTGATGGTAGCATAACACAGCTCAAGCTAGTTGGGTTAGCATGAGCATGAGAGGAAGTGACATGCTAACTTAAGAGGTACTGAGGTAGAGGTTACACAAAACATGCACAATACTGTCACTGCTTCAGTCTTCAATTGTTCTAATTTCTACATTGTATCAAGGTTTGGGACCACCACAGGCTCTGTCTTTTCACGGAGGTTCACGGAGGTTACAATCAAAAGGTAAATGCTTTGCTAACAATGAATTACGCCGCTAACTTAGGGTGTCCAGACGTCCCCATTTATCCAGGACAGTCCCAGTTTTGAGCCCTGTGTCCCCTGTCCCAGCAGATTTATACAAAACCAGTGATTTGTCCCAGTGTCCCTATTTTTGACCAATTTGATCTAAACAAGGTCTAAACCAGGACTAAACTAAGATTAAACTATGACTACATCAGGTCTAAATAGGGTGCCCATTCGTACGGATTTCGGATGGACAGTTCGGTTATAGAGCCTTCTGTCCAGACCTCTCTTATGTGTCCTCATTTTTGACATTTGTCCTCATTTCGGACCCTTGGCCGTTGCACGCATCACCACAAAACCCCGCCCATATTGCACCTACAATACTGCAATAGCAATGTTTGAAACTGCTGTTAAACAAAAGTAAATGCCAAAAAGGAAGAAATCTTTCAAACATGCTTGGTGCTCAGAGCATCGTTTTGCCAGTAAGAGAACCAAAGTAGAACACTATGCCTTCTGTAAGCTCTGCCGTATTGACATTGATGTGAGTAGCCGAGGTAAATGTGCATTAGAGCGACAAGCAGACACAAAACGCCACAAGGAGAATAGTGCTGCATGCTGCGTACTCTTCTTTAACGTCTTTTTTTGCCCCACCAACAACCAACACAACAGATGACAAAACCATTGCTGCATAATCATCTTGCTTATCTTGAAACTGATGAATAATAATAATAAGTATGATAATTATAATAATAGTACTAATAATATATAATAACTGATAATATTTTCATACTAATAATAATGATAATAGTGAACCCCCCTTCCCCTGGATCTGATAGTGTCCTCACTTTTGAGCCTGAGTGTCCTAATTTTCAGAGTCATGCTGGTGGTCACCCTAGGTCTAAACCAAGACTAAAACAGGACTATCACAATTTTTGACTAATCTGGTTCTCACAAACAATAAAGAGGAGCATAAATTGTCATTTGTTTGGCCAAAATACAGAAATTCGTGTTTGTGAATGACCATAAAGTAAAATTCACGAGCAAGGACCATGCCACAACAGTGGAAAATGATAAGATGTTTGACAGTGAATACATGTGATGGCTGGAGGGAGACTCAGGGTGGGGGCTCCGTTTCCAATCCAAAATGGTCATCCAGCTGATTTGGAAGATGACGTCTTTGGACTGAAGGATGGACGAGGGACACGGGTGGGAGGGAGGTGGTCTAGAGAGTTGACGTGAGGATGATGTCAGGATAGGCCGTATAAATAAGGCTACTGGGTAATTGAAGGCATAGTTGAGATAAGCCGTGGTTGGCGGGTGAGGCGTGGTGAGGCATGGTTCTGCTCCTGAATCTCAGTTAATCATATTAACTCCACAAAATGCAGCAACAGAAGTCTCTCAGATTAAGACTGAAATGAGAACGCACAATGTTACAGACTCTTTTCACAATTTTATTTATACCAACCATGCCAACCTGAGTGTGTCCTAGTTTAGAGTTTTGAAAATCTGGTCACCCTACACTAACTTAAATAATAGAATAAAATCTGCTTTGTAACAAGTGTGTTAGCTATGACTTCATTGAGCATGTATTGTGCACCTTTTCAACAAAGAAGAAGCACAAAAAGCAATGTAATATAAGGCAGGCTACGTTTTGTGATGGTCCCAACAAAATGACAGTTCGTCAGATCTTCAGATAATGACATACTCGCTGTAAAAGCATGAAATTGAATCACGATAATTCCATATTCGCTTTGTTGTAATGGCATGAAACTGAATCATGCTTTTTCTGTCTCATAATGTATTCAACGAAAACAAATCTTCAGAGAGCTGCAGCGGTGGGATGAGATGCGCTTTGGGTGGAAGTGAAGAGAGATGGAGTGATAACCCTGTCCCAAAGCGGAAGTAATCAGGCCTTATTACTGCCTCCACGTCAATGCCAAGGACACCCACCAAAACACACGTTCACAGGGCGTCCCATCTACCACGAAAACGCTATGCACGGTACAAGTTTATTCTGGGCGCAACTGGTTTACTATCTGCCATTTTGTTTAGTCTGCTATTCAACTGTTTTATAAGCAAAGTTACAAGTGAAATATGCAGTGCTGAAATGTAAATTAAAGTAAAGGTAAGAAGAGTTATATGGCTGCCAAATGTGTACTTAAAATATAAAAAATTCTATTCTGCAAAACCAACTTTTCATAGCTTTTAACCATGTTATAGTTGTTTCCTCTAACCATTTTCTCACCTGAAGTTGTCTTTGAAGTGATTTGTGTATGTTTGAACAATTTTTAATTGCTTATTTTCAAGACGGCATATTGGAAATCAACTCCCGGTTTCACCTCTACTGCTCTGTACTTATTTCATTCTCTCTCTCTTTTTTCTTAATCTGTTGATATGTGTACGATTCTGCAGAGTTGTGTGCTCATTTTGGTACAAATGATGGGAGGGGGGGCAGAACAATAGTAGGTCTTCTTTAAAGCTGTACTCAATACCTCCTGTGATTTCAAATGTAGATAATTACAGTTGCATTGTCTATAATTATACTCAACCCAATCTACTCAAATACAGTAATTTGAGTATTTGTGATTAGTTACTTTCCAACTCTGGAAAATGTTATCTGTTGGCCAAACATGCTTCCTATTTCATCAATATTTTGGAAAGTTTGACAGTTAACAGACCCCCAGCACAGCATAAATATTCCCTTGTTGGGCTGTAAATAGCGGTTGGTTGTGAGGTTCTTGCCCTATGTTTGTGTCATTTTTAGACAATTCCTGTGATTGGCTGACATGGGAGGTCAGAATCCAAAATTATACCACTAATTATAGCAAATTTCAAGTGTTTTGAGATTCTGTTTTGCGATCTGGATGCTGTAGAACAGTTATAAATGAATCATAGACTCCATGTTGGATCTGCTTTTTTTTATTAGCACATTTCCATCAGAGCTTCACTGGCATCTGCTTGCTGTCAACACAGACAGACCCTCCATTTTGTTCATTAGCGCACCTCGTACTGTTTCCCATGATGCTTTGTTTGTGTGACACATAAACTTTGACCTGTGCGCTGATACTGTCAGACAAAATGAGCAAGACTTCAGCGCACTGTGTCAAGACCTTAACTACAATTTCCTTAAACAACACATAATGGAAACAGAGTGTCCATAGAGGCATTTCATTATTCTTCTGTGCTGTAAATAATAATACTTCCCAAAAATATCTTTATGCTGCATAAGCATTGTCACAACATGAAATCTACAATAAAAATTGTACATTGTCAAAATCAATAAATTAACTCAATAAATAGATAAATTGACACAAGCAGCAGAGGTATCAAATGAATATTAATACAGCTTACAATCACAGTATTGGCTTTGAACATAATAATGCCCTAAAGGGCTTTTCTTGATAAAAGTGATGGATGACCCAACCAGAGGCTGGAGGTATGTTGGGGGCATAGACTAGGTCAGTGGGTTGACTTCAGGAATGTGGGTGACCCCTGCCCCTGTGTCCTGTGCATAGTTTGTTCTACACCAATACTGTTCAGTCCAATGGTGCCACACATGTTTCTGAAACAGCTCCCTATCACCGGGCTCAGGCTGAGCAGAGGCATGTGAAGTGGAAACAGAGGGGCAGATAAGGCAGGTCCAGCAGCAGGACAGTCCAGGCCTCGCAGCCCGCCCACTCGCCCGCTCGCCTCAGGCCCATGAAGTGCTGATGATTGTTTGGCCACAGATAAGTGCAGAGGAAGACCCTGTCAGGGGAAGTGAGGGGGGAGTCCGGTTCCCACCAGTCTGTGCCTGCTGCATCAGGCCTGAGCCTTTGGGAAATCTGGAGCTGTGTAACTCTCACTGAGGACACACCTCACTATCGCCACTGTCAACAACAACTGCAGTCCCAATGCTTTCCACAAGCATCACTTTGGTGCGTTTACAGCTTTTCAATACTTTCTTTGGTAGAATCCATTGAACCCCCATTTCCGGTGGTTTCAGCTAATGGCTGGCTTTCACATTTCTGAGTCAGAGTCTGTCAAAACCAGCACTATCTGCAGCCACACTCGGCCACCACCATGCCTTCATATTTGTACTTGTAGGTGACCACTCCAGTATCGTCCAAGTACAAGAGTGAGATAGGATCCAGCTTGGTGGGAACACAACATGCTTGAGATGTCTTCTGTGGACTGTGGATGTTTACAAGTGTTTGGACAATGGCATGCTTAGTGGGTGTTACATGCTTTGTCAATGGAAAAGAGCACACCCCAGTGCACTCGTAGGCATCATAACCAGTGGGAGCCAGGATCCAACTGTCCCAACCAATGTCCTTAAACTCCACATATAAGGACTGCTTCTTGCAGTGGTTCCCTTTGGCATTTCTCCTAATACGAGATGCGGTGTCATAGATAAAATTGGACCTCATTTGAATGAGATCCTCTTCATCTGGCTCCTCTTCATCCTCATATAAATCTTTGCTCTTCTCCAAGTCATCCCAAATCTCATTTTGAAGGACCATGTTGGAGGTTTCTCGATCAATCATCTCATTTAAGTCACGCTTGTCCTCTCTTCGATCGCTGCTTTGGTCGTCCGAAAAAACAATCAGTAATGGCTTGTGCTTCTCCTCAGGACTCGTATCAATTTTCATGTCTTGCAAAATCGCATTGTCACTTTCATTTGCCATTTCAGGGATGTTTTCGTCACTGACCATGCTTGCAATGTGCACCTCAAGCTGATGTGTAGTTCCTTGTTCAGAGTTTCTCCAACGTTGGACAGCCCCCGTAAGATCAAATGCTTCCCAACCGTTATCTGTGCCGAAAACTTGCCTTGATGCCAATTCTGTAAGGTGTATTTCTTCATCCTCCTTTCTCAGTTCATCCTCTCTTTCTTGTATCTCTTCCGTTGCGTTGTTTTCATCTTCATTAGATTCCAGTTCATAGATAGTCACTTTTCGGTCCACCCCAGCATACAGGTGCCTGTCAGTCTGAACCAGGGTATAGAGGCGTAGTTCAGCTGCCGTAACTCGCTCATGGTGTGGTACTGAAACGTTGAAGAGAAGTTTATGGCGTCTGACCCCTCCAGCATCGATAACACTTGGCGAAGTATCTGGAAAAGATTGAGTAGAATGTAATATCAGTATCATGAAGTTACAGATACTCAAATCTTTGTTTGGAAAGACTTAAATCCCCAACGTAAACATTGCCAGGCGTCTTGGAGGAACTGAGAAAGCCTTCTGAATGAAAAGACAAAACATGTCCAAGCACATAACTTAGTCCAGATGTCCACCGCTACACTTAATTATGCTAATACTTTATATAAGACTGAAGCAGATCCATGTTTTTACAAATAATATGGAGCTACTTATGAAGGCATTTCTTGTGGATTACTCTTATCAAAATGAAATCTATATAATCTATGTAAAATATTCTATTATTATCTTGGATCAGCTTTCCCAGTCTAATTAAATCAATCTCAAGATCCAAAAAGAGTTTATCATAACAGCTATCAGCTACAGTTTTGAACATGTAACAGATATGCATTTCTTTAACATGATTTATACCTTCGTTCTTAAAGCTGCGGATGATGTTGGCCGTGGGCATGGCATTGTGGTCATTGGCAAATCGGTTGTACAGTTCCATCATGTACTCCGGGGGCTCCTCTCTGGTGCTGTCTGCAGACAGCTGAGGACCAGATCCACTCAGGTTAAATGTCCTGAGGAACTGCTCCTTCAGACTCTCCAGTAACTGAATGTTCATTGCTCCATCCTGCTCCAACTCTGATACCTCCACCACCCCTCCATGGCCGTCGCCCAGACCTGGGTCGGGCCGATGCCTCTGATGGGTACTCAGGATGGGGCTGCTGTCAGAGCTCTGAGGGCCCTGGAGGAGCGCAGTCACAAGAAGCAGCAGCACAGGCTTAGAGTTTAAGATGGGTCCCAGTTCAGAGATCCAAGTGCTCGCCATGAGAGAAGTCTTCACACTGAAGCTGACACCCTTTGGGGTTGTCAATGGGCTGGTGCAACAAGAAGAAAAATCTCTATCCACTCAAAGTTCACTTGTCGTATCTCCAAGCCTGCTGTGTCCCGCAGGTCAGTGCAGTGGCCCACTCTCTGAGTCTGTGTAACAGGTTGAGTGGGGATAGGCTTCCTGCAGTATTTATCCTTGTGAACACTTTTTGAAGTGTTGTGAGCACGGGCAGTGGTTCCGGTGACAGGGTGGCCTGGCTGTGGTGCAGTCTGTGCCACTCATGTCTGATGTGCCTCGGTCAGGTCTTTGAGAGCTCTGGCTGCTCCGGGTGAGTCCTCTGCCCTTATCACTGACATGATAGGCTGCATAGCTGCAGTGTGCTGCACATGAGCGTGTGGCCTTATCTCACTACTTCCTTAATGAGGATTTTATAAACATCGGCCTCCAGCCTCCTTCTGGGTGCACATTTTGTTTGGGTGGGTGCTCCACAGTGGATTTTCTTCATCTGTTTATTTGTGTTGTAAATTATGGGCTCTATTAGCTGCTGCTTGAGCATGTACAGCACACTGGTGCATTCTGTGCTAAAAAAGATATCTTAAAATAACATGAGACTAGGTGCAATTTTACAGTTGTGAATGAAATGAAATGAATGCTCAGTGAGTCCAAGAAATAGAAATATTGTTATTATGATGGAGTTCTATCCCTGTCTCTTTTTGAGCACTTTTTGACCATGTTCATTATAGATTAAAAATAAAATAACTTCTGTGTTTAAGATGGTATGCAATATCTTCTGCTCAACATTTCACATTGTAGTAGGTGACTGAACACAGATTCTTATAGCTGTCAGCTTCATTAACTCACTCGTATTTTTAGCAAGGTGCTGCAAGTCATTCAGGGTCAGCTGTGCTAGTGTGAGATCCATTTTATGGAAATAATTTTCTTCTGTTTGCATTATTTGACTTGACCATACTTTACTCCCATTTGAGTAATATTTTTACAAACAGTAAAACAGAAACAGTACTCTTACTTGAGTAAAGGTTTTAGTTACTCTTCCCACTTAATGACAAAAGTGTTATGTTGACAGTGTGAAATGATCTGAACGTTTGTGTTTCTTTCACCTCTCCTTCAGAAATGATTTAGTTTTTTTGGATTTTTGTGTCTATCCTTTGAAACTGTCAGATTTTGCACTTTCTGTCCTACCAAATGCATTAACTCTAAATTATAAATCAGATTTTACATTCTGGCAGTTAGAAATACCTTTGCCAAATACTTTTTTTTGGAATAATTTCTTGGATCACTTCTTTATACTTCTATTTGCATAATACTATTTTGAAGTAATGTTACTCTTACTTGTGTATAATTTTTGTCTACTCCACCCACCTGGATATAAAATATGTTTTTACTTCTTCTCACTGCCTTTTGAGCAAGAAGGGTGTTTTCTTTTCTTTTGTAAGTAATATGTGGTATAATAAATATATGTAAATTGAATAGAAATAAATTGTTTGTTTAATAATTTCTACTAATACTTCATCAACAAGCTGTCAGGTCCCACACATGGTCCTGACGCAGCCTTTTCTCTCACCACACTGGGATGGCTTCCTCTTGTTTGCGCACTCTTGTCGTCAGATCAAGGCAATTATCGCTTTACTCACCTGATTCCTCACTCCACTACTGTCCGTCATTCCTGGGCTGTTTGAGGTGACCTTCAGATACCCTGTGCTTATGGTGCGTCACTTTTCCTGGCTCGACCATTCTTCTGCCAGGCTGACACTTGACAGACGTGGGCTTATCTGGGATTCGGCTGCACAAACACATTAGCACATCTTCCTGACAGGCAAGAGAAGCTTTGATAAAGGCACTGCCTTTGGTACACAACCACTGTCCCCTCATATGGTCCGTATTGTAAACTCGGTACGATATTTATTCCAAAATTGTGAATATGCTACTTTTCCTTCTTAAAATGCCTTAACAAGATGTAAGGCATGAAGAAGTAAGATTTAAAAGAGCTAAAACAGTTATTTCTTCATATAGTCTGCACTTAAACGGTGCAAAGGATCATGGTCTATGTAGTTCCCTTGCACCTGATTTTGAAGGTACACTGTGTAACTTCTCTGGTGGAGCATCCGCCACGGGGATATCATTGATTTACTGAAATGTTACAGTTTTAACCTTATTTATCTCCATGATGACAAGCAGGTGGAGCATGTTACAGGTCAGATCTGTGGAGAGGCAGAGCGTACATAGTGAGGAATATTTTTTAAAAGTATTATTTAGCAATATATACACCTGAAAAAAGCAAGATAGAAAATTTTAAGCAAGATAGAAAAACTTTAATAGCATAAAGAAATAAATAACATCCCCATGGAGACAACCAAGTGGAAGACCCTCTACCAGAAATGTTACATAAGGAACCTTTAATTTATTCTCGTCAAGATGAGTGCACGTATCATAAAAGCCTCTAGATAAGTTTAAAAAAAGACTGTATGTAGCTGTAAGCGTCCTGAAAAGCAATATATAAATAAGCTGTACAGTTATTGTTATTATAAACTATTCAGTTTACGTAGCATTTTCTCAACAGTGTCACTTTTTTCATCCAATCAGGCACATTGTTACTAAGGCTACGTTTATATGATGACGATCTGAACAGAAGACGCAAAAATGGCGTTACATCTTCACTTTTTATTCCCCATTTAGACGAGCGTTTTCGGGAGGAAATCTGCGTGCGGTGACGCAAAAGTGTGTGGAACTGGATGCATGCCAGGCGGCTATGGCTATACGTTTTTTTCTGTGTACAGTATGTACACGACGTGAGCAGATCTGATCAGAGTTTTGTGGCTTGGGCAGTGTAGACGGAAACGCTACAGCGGAGCGTATTTAACTTTTCCACTCTGGAGGATGGTTTTCAGATTTTTGCGTTTTTAAGCCCCAAAAATGCCGTCACCGTCTAAACGAAAGGCACATCAGATTAAATATTTTGTTGTTTTTACCCACAAGTGTTCTCATGTAAACAAGCCCTTAGAATCATAGAAAACCAACTGTCTGACACTTTCTTACACACTCGATTCTCTGTCAGGGTGCATTTTTAATAGTGAAAAAACACAAAATACCTTTCTGGAGATTAGGCAACTATAAGAAACAATTGCACGATGCTATCCCAGACACTGTTTTCTTGCTTGACCAACCAGTCCTTTCTACATCCTGTTTAAATCCAGAAGGGTAGGAAAATAAACCACAGAGCGTCGTATAAACCTCCATCCAAACTTGAGAAGGTCCAACCAAAGCCACTAATTTGTACTCTCAAATCATCATCACCTCTCCAAAATTCTCTTATGATTCAGAACGGAATATAGTTCGTTTTTCTTCTTCCCACTTTTTAGTTTTTTGTTTCTTTTAGCACGATTGCACTGATGTCAAAATGGATAAAACCATTTTCCTTTGTAAAAGAACGTAAAATGGTTACTTGCCCAAAATAAATAAATAAATAAATGCATATAACTTTTACTCGAGATAAAAAAGAGTTTGGCGCTTCGATTTTTGATTCTGTGAAAATCTACACAATTTGTCAGTCCTCTATGTTGTTATCTCTCTGCTCTCTGATTGGTTGATCCGCCTGTGAGTCCCTCTCTCTGGAATCAGGGAGACAAAATGACAAAATGTGTGGTTTCAGCTTTCCAGGCAGGGTAGAAAACATGGGAAGACAAAGGGGGTCTGGCTTCCTGGGCCCCAGAATTGGACCCTCCTCCTATTAAATCATTTTAAAGAGGGGCCCATATGAGGCTCCTTGGCCCATGCCCCCAAATTTCTGTTGACGGGCCTGTGGCAGAAAGGAGGAGAAAGTGGAAAATGGATGGGGCTAAAAGTTCAAGCTAAAACATATCCCTGTCTCATGGTTTGAAATTAGTTACAGCCCCTTAAAGAGACCACAGTCCCTGTTCTTGGAGTGAAATCTGACCATAAAACATATTGAACTGTTTTTATCCAGATGTTTTGTTTTGTAGCCTTTTCCGATAAATTACAGTGAATTTGGCACACAAAACCAAGCAAAGAAATCGCTCTCTCAGCAGAAAGTATCCAGGCACACACTCTTAGGTAATGCTCTAACCACTTGGAAGTGATCCTGTTCATTGAAAGTAACAATGATTTTCAGAAGTGTTGCAATAAACATCACTAGAGTCGAGTTACATGATGAAAACTTGTGGAAACAGAAATGAGAATCAAACTGAAAGTAAAACTCCCCTTTAAACTGTATTCAATGCAACTTTGGTGTAATTAAAAGATATGTGCAGATACATTTGGCCAATATCTGTCTACTTGCCAAGGAATGCTGCTCCTTGGAGCCTGAGGTGGAGTCACTTCAATGAGTAACTTCAAGTTTTATTGCCATTGTAAAAGTGGGCAAACAGGTACATCGTTAAAAAACTATAAATTTTCCCTGTAGATCAATAAAGTTTGCCTAAGTCTAAGTCTCTAAACTAAAGTGCCCTGTATCAGATGATATTATGTCATTTTTCTGGTGTACGTTCATTTTTCTGGTGTCACATGCTTGCCTCGGTGAATATGTTATTGCTTTGCTTATAATGTTCCACAATATGAAACACAGTTCCATCGTATAAAACTTGTCAATCTCTATGGAGACAAGTCGGTGACAGCACCAGGCTGTGGAGAAGGGAGCCCGCTCACCGTGAGAATGCATGTTTTCCATGGTGTATATTTGAATACATTTGTTATGTTATTAGGAGTCCAAATTGTCAGGTATGAAAACAGACTCTTAGTCTGAAAAAAACACTTAATAACATAAATTATGGGAAGACCAAATGAACATCATTGGAAGACAACATTTGTTATTGAATAGCAAATTTAAGGGGTCATTATTACACTGTTTTCTGATCTGTTGTAATGTTGTTTCCTCATCACAAACAGACCTGGAGTTGTGTTGTGTTTCATTCACATGTTTAACACACAAACCCTGCATATTTAGACTGTGTTCTTTTCTAAAACAGAAAACCCTCTGTTCCACCTTGTGATGTCATATGGTAATACAGGAAGTGCTCCACTGTGTCAGAGTCTATAAACTCCATACACATTCACTATAATCATTAGGATGACTTTAGCTTTGGAATTGAACAACATTAGCGGAAGGCAGCTGTTAAGCTGAAAACTACAGCTACATGACATCACAAGGTGGGTGTGTTTTTGAGGAGGTAACAACATTCTAACATGGCTTAAAGCTCACAAGAGTCTATTTTGCATCATAAAGGACCCTTTGCATAGTATAGGACCTGTAATATAAAACTTTTGATGCTGTATTGTTGTGCTGTACTGTGGAACATTTCAGTACCCCCCCCCACCAGAAATGTTACATAGTGCACCTTTAAAGCCTCACTGCACAACCTTTTAGCTATAATCTCCCACAGTACAGCATAAAACATCTTCATGGAGAATGTTTCAAAGTTAAAATTTTCTATTTCCATGGAATCATGCAGGTGACATGCCACCTCGAGAAAGTTACACCATTTTGCTTTAAAGGTGCATTGTGTAACTTTTCTGGTGGAGGCTTTAAATGCTTTTCTCTGTGGAAATGTTGTTGCTTTGACTGGAATGCTTCACAGTATGGAATTAAACCTTCATATCTTCACGGAAACCAAACCAGCCCAAGTTACAGGTCAGATCTGTGGAAAGGTGACACCGCTCACAGACAGAACGCCTGTTTTCTGGGTATTTTTGAGCTATAAAGCCACCTGTAATTGAATAAATGTAAGGTAGAGAGAGCTGTTTAATGTCACACTGTGGAACATTCCAGGCAGGGCAATGACATACCCATAGAAACAAGCAGGTGACGGACCCCCAACCAACACAGTTTTGCTTTAAATCTGCATGAGGAAAGAAAAATACATAGCGTTAAATATATAATTTATTAACACTCCAACCACATCGGCTACACATTCACAACATATTATCCCAAACAGACTACAAGCGCTCCTCTGATGTGTCCAAAGATGCCAGGATGTTGCACAATAGTTCAGATCCGTTTACACAGTGAGGTCTTTATACTCGGAGAAGAGTTTATAGACATCAGTTCATTGTCCACATCTTCAAACAAACAAGCCTTTTACCACACTGTAGAGCTTCAGATAATGTTAAACAGAGATTAGCAGCAGGCAAATGTATATTGTTATTAACCTTATTTTGTGCTAAGGCTGAGAAAATGATAGTTACTCCCATTTTGACAAGATATTTTACCGATTTCAAAGTTGTCTTAAAGGTGCACTGTGTAACTTTTCTGGTAGAGAGTCCCCCACCTGCTTGATGTTTTTCCTCAGAATATTCTGCAGGATGGCATTTATCTAACTATCTCCATGGAGACAAGCAAGCCACATAACAAAATCAGATCTGTGGAGAAGTGGGCTCGTTCACAGTAATAATAATAATGCATGATTTTTTTTTGTTGTTTTGAGAAATATGAACACCTGTAATTGAATAAACACAAGATATATTTGTTTAATGCAATATTCTGGAACATCCCAGACATTGCAATAGCATTACCGTGGAGACAAGATGATGGCAGACCCTCCACCAGAAAAGTTACACAGTGCAAATTCAATTTAGGGTGTTGTATGTCATTTAAAAAGACAGTAGAAAGGGAAAAAAACTAAATAAATCAAGTTACAAAAGAAGCTCCTGTTCTCCACATCAGCAGTCTACATGTAAACCAATGGAGATATTAAAGGTGCATTGTGTAACTTTTCTGGTGGGGGGTCTGTCACATGCTTGTTTCTATGGATATGTTATTGCTCTGCTTGGAATGTTCCACAGTATGACATTAAACAGCTCTACTTTACATTTATTCAATTACAGGTAGTTTTACAGGTAAAAAAGAAACAAAAATAGGTATTCTGACTGTGAGCAGGGTCGCCTCTCCACAGATCTGACCTGTAACTTGGTCTGGTTTGGTCTCCATGAAAATAGAAAGGTTTAATGCCATACTGTGAAACATTCCAGACAAAACATCTACATGGAGAAAACTTTGACAGACCCTCCACCAGAAGAGCATTTTATTGCTCAGGAAGTGCGCGTGGCATGCCAGTTGTTTTTAGCTTTACCGTCACGGCAATAGTGAGAGCGGTGAACATAAAATTATAAACTCATCGTGGTGAGTAATTAAGATGCTCAGAATGCGTAAGGTAAGTGAGGAAAAACTTTGAATCACTGGAGTTTAAATTTAAATAGCTTTGTTTTTGATGTTTTTAAGGTGATAAAAAATCCAGCACAGGGCAAAAGTAAAAGTAAGTAAAAGTACTTTTGGATGGTTACACAATGCACCGTTAAACATCTGTAATAAGCACTAAGCGTTCACTGTTTTGTAACACTATATGTCATAAATGATCACTCCTTGTTAGTTGTACAAAATTGCAAAATCACATTCCTAGTTTTTGAAATGTGTTTACCAACAGCAGTACAGCTTTTACTCATTCTGATAAGCCTCAGATAAATAACACCTCAGACAGAGCAGTGCTTAAATTTAGCATCATCCCCCCACGAATATTAATAACATCAGCTGCAAAGTATCACTATTTTTGAGCAAGGCATGTTTATTAAAGTGTTGTTTCCTTAATAAAACATGACAACTTTCCCCCCAAAATGATCCTGTGAAACTGAATCTCATATTTTGTTGTATTGTCCTTTTTATGAAATCCTTTGTTTGATGAAATGTTCACTAGGGATGTAACAATAACTGAAATATTGTGATATCGTATCGTTAAAAGTCTCACAATAAAATCGTGGGCCATCACAGTATATCGAATTACAAGTCTCTTTGCTTAAATAAATAGTTATGGTGGAGCCATAACTAAAAAAACTGAAGGAACTACATAGCCCATAATCCTTTGCTCTGTTTCAGCGCAAACTACATGAAGAAATAACTGTTAGAAACACTTATATCTTAGTTCTTTAGATTAAGTCTTGACAGGGTATTTTAAAAGGAAAATGTGGCACAATTTTGTTAACTTCCACAAAATATCGGAATAAATATCGTACCGTGAGATGTATATTGCAAAAATAATCCGAGAGATTTGGATATCGTTACATCCCTAATGGTGACCCAAGATGAAATGCAACTGGTTGATTGTATTTTGCTTGTGGTTTCTTATAAGCCCATAAAAAGGCTGAGCACATCTGTATTGCCCAGACATAATAATAAAATAAATTCACTTCATTCATTGTACTATTCTCCTCTCAAGTCTATAGTGACCAGTTGGTGTCCTGATTTTACGGAGGTGGTTTCTTGATGAGAAACTGTTCAATGTCCTTTTGCAGCTCCTTGTTCCTGCGCAGGGCCTCGTCTCTGCTGCCCTCGGCGTTTTTCAGGCAGATCTCCAGAGCGGCCACACGGCGGCGCTCTGCCTCCAGCTCTGACCTCAGCTCAGCCACGGTCGCCTTCAGCTCCTTGTTCTCCTTCTGCAGGCTGCAACTGCACACACAGGCCAGGAGGGGTCAAGGCAAATCAAGAGTGTGAATCTTTAAAGAGAATGTTGCAGATGTTTTCATGTAATAAAGTAAAATATGTTTTTCTCTAGTACAGATTCATTATAAACGCAGCCCTTAAGGTCTACATCTAATTATACAGTGTTTTATTGTCCGCAAACCCAGAAGTACGCTTGCTAAGGCTGCACCCAGTCCAGCTGCAGCTCAGTGTGGGCCCGGTCTTATTGTGGGGTGGACCAGAGCTCTGCTGTTACAGTCAGCACCTCTGAAGTCTGCACAGAGACCACGTGTTAGTGTAATGACTATTTATTCAGGAAAAGGGCTGAGGTCGCTCTGGCATCTGGGAAAAATAGAATTCAACTGAACTTCTTCGAAGCCACAGCACCTTCACCGGCACCACCGGACTGCACGTGTGCGCTCTGAGCTCACTTCTTGTAATTACACAGAATACTTCCGACCATCACACTAGAGGTGGTCTGCATCTATTTATAGTGTTTTATTGTCCGCAAACCAGGAAGTATGCTGAATGTATTAGGAAAGTGAAGAATGCTCATTGTTGGGCAGCTGCTATGGGCATACTGTCCATAATGCCTCTATGTTTTGTTGTGTCCTTGAGCAAGACACTTCACCTTGCCTGAGTATGAATGTAGTGTGTGAGTCTGTGATTGGTGTGGTAGCGGGAGGTCAGATTGACAGTTTTGTTTCTGTCTTATGTCGGGCAGTTTATGGAAAACTAGATATTGTATAACATATAATACTGTGAATGTTGCTTTAAATATAAATATCTAATGATATAAAGTGATATGTCTGAAATCTCACCAGTCAACAGGCTGTGCTCCGTCTGCCTTTACTTCACATTTGCTGGTGTCCTGATTCGTAGCTTTCGGTTTCTCATCACTATTCTGATGCACCAGGCTTTGAACAGGCTTTTCAACACTGTCACTTTGGCCTTTGGCCTTCCCATCTTCTGTAAGAGTGATGAACCCCTGGTCACTTCCTCTCCTGGGCATAGACCTCATCTCCTCCTCCTTAGAACTCAGCGTAGTCGTCTTGAACAATGACCCAGAAGATTTGAGGTCCAGGATTTTAAAAATATCTTCTGAAAAAGTCCCGCTCTTCTCCTCTATGGACTCCTGAAGGCGACTCCAGCGATTCAGGGCCTCTGCTTTGGCGGCCATCCCCGTCAGAGGGCAGTTAAACGTGGGTAAGGTTTGGGTGCGTTTGCGGGGGGATTCCATGCACTCTGAGGGTAAAAACAACTCTGATTTGAGATTGGTGGATCTTTGGGGCCCTGGGCTGTCCTGATCCTCTTCTTCCTCTGGAGACTCAGACAGAGAAGTGTCACAGAGCTGGGGACAAAAAAGGAAAACATTAAGACTACATTTAAAGGTGCACTGAGTAACCTGTCCGGTGAAGGATCCGCCATCTGCTTATCTCCATGGAAATGTACCTAGAATCTTCCACAGAATAGCCATAAATGTAAGAATCTCCATGAAGACTTGCAAGCCACATTTCAGTTTAGATTTGAGGAGAGGCGACCCACTCACAGTAAAGAATAATTAAGATATTTTTGAGCAGTAGATAACACCTGTAGTTGAAGAAATGCAAGACAGATAGTTTAAAGCCATACTGTACAGTTTAAATCAAAGCATTAACATCTCCAGGGCGACAAACAGGTTGCAGACCCACTCCAGAAAAGTTACACAGTGCACCTTTTACTATGGGTAATGCATGCCAAATCAATTGCTCTGCTATAAATGCAATATTGAAAACACTAACCTGTTTTCATTCTAATATAATGTGAAGTCAGTCATATTATAACAATTGAAATCTTGGGGACTGATGCCAATATTGAGGGTTTGGAAATGCTATTAGCTTCGACACGTATTGGCCAGTATCAATAATGTTTTAAGTAATATATTATAAGTGGCCAGCAGCATAATATTAGCTGTTGATCAGTGTAACTTAAATATTTATGATAGAGTTAAAGGTTTAAGAGGGGCATTACATTTCTCTGGTGTATTAATTGCGGACACATAACATATTTAGATCACCGTGTTGCTGTTTATTGTTTTGAATCAGCCGGTTTCACTTCGTAGAAACCGTCTGACCTCGCAGCATTAGGATTCAATTGCTCAAAGGTAGGCGGTACTTATTTTATTTAAAATCCCGTAGGAAGAAGGGCAATAACGTCTTTCCCCTTGATAAAATTCACCAGATATTCTCTTTGTTCCGGTTTTAAATCCTCGATCTCGGGAATCGTTGCCAACACAGAATGTACGGCTCTTTGCTGATTGTCTGGTGCAAAACTTGCACTTCCGGGGTTCTTGCAAATCGTCTAGTGTATTCTGATTCCTGACCTAGTTGCTGGAGAGAAATGAAATTCAGCGTAGACACTAGGTGGCACCAGCCTGGCTACCTTCGGAGTGCTATATCCCCCCTATCTGCTAACGAAACTGTAGCACACTGTATCAGGTTTGTGAAGTTGTCGTGTACTGTTCTGTATCATGCTTTTCTATATTTATGGAAAATTGCTGTGCAGGAGCTTGGGAAGCGTAGGTTTGTGGGCTGAGCATTGGACAGAATTGTACTCCTAACTGTAAGGAGGGTTCGAACAGAGCTGGGGAGAGATCACTAGATTGCTTAAAGATGCATGGATGGCAACTAAACCCTATTCGTTATTCGTTTTATGTTTTTAGTTGGAAGAAAGCTCCAAAAAGTCGATTTTGCATACAGTAATACCTCCTCTTTAAGTTATCTCTCTTGATTCAATTAAATTACAGGTTTTTCATGGATAAAACAATAGCGTCAAAAACATGAATTCTTATTGTAAAGGGATCGTCACTCCACAAATCTGCTTGTCTCCATGGAGATAGAAGTTTAATGCTATACTGTGGAGAATTCAAGGCAAAACAATAATAAATTTACATAGTGCATCTTTAAATATATGTTTAAAGATGCACTATGTCACTTTTCTGGAGAGATTTTATTGCTTTGTCTGGATAGTTTCACAATATGGCATTAAACCTTTCTATCATCATGGAGACCAAAACAGTCCAAGTTACAGGTCAGAGCTGTGGAGAGGAAACCCCACTCACAGTCAGAATGCCTGTTTTTCTATGAATTGTTGTAATTTAATGAATGAAAAGTAGAGCTGTTTTATGTCATAGTGTCAGCGCTTCCGGACCCTCAACCAAAAAGTTACACAGTGCACCTGTTAGTCTCTGTGAGGTCCAGTACATTACATAACAGCCTTACCTCAGTGGACTCCCAGCCCACAAAGCTGCGTGGGGCGTTCTTCTGGCTGTCAGCCTTGTTTGGAGGAGGAGAGGGCAGCTCGTCTTTGGAGATGGGGAACAGGGCCTCATGTTGTCGAATCAGCACCGTCATCAACTTCTGGATCTGAGGAGTCGCTGTAAACAAAAAGGAGTGCAGGGTAGGACCATCAGTAAGAAATATTTGTACTAGAACATACATATAGTTGTAGAATTGGGGTACTATACTGCAGTAAAAACAGGTGGGTAGAGTTGATCGCAAAGTAGGATTTGTGTGGCTGTCATAGAAATTCTTTATCAATTAAAACCAACATGACCTGCTGATCGATTAGTGGAGTAAAAACGAGCTCTCAAACATTATTCATTATCGGATTACAAAAGAAATTGTCATTAAACGTTAAAATATGCCAGGTGACAGACTTTTGATTATTATTATTTTTGTATCTGTATGTGTAAATTTAATGCTTGTATGTAAAACTAATGTCATTTTTTTTTATAACAGAATGTCTATATATGAAATTAACATGTTTTTGCAATGCACTTTTAATGTCTTTTATGCGTACCCCACGAAGAGTAGTTACTGCTAATAACTGTTGGGGATCTGATCTATATAAATAAATACAGTCGTCCCTCGCTATATCGCGGTTCACCTTTCGCAGTCTCGCTGTTTCGCAGATGTGTTTTTTATGCAATTTTGCGTGCCTTTTTTTTTTACAGTGTATGAACGTGCATTGTGTTCCTCCCCCTGCGTCCTGATTGGATAAGGGACTGTAGACCATTGTCAATCAATCTCATCCATGCCGTGTCTCCTGTACAGTACAGAATGTGTTCAGCCAAATTTACATAAATGTTCGATCGCTAGCAGTGTGATTCTGAAGAAATTTTCTCCCCGACAAAACCCACAATGCGGTGATCGCGATAGCCCAACATCACCGCGGGGGGCCTCTTAGTACTGCAGTGATTCATTTTTGCACTTATTGCGAAAGCCCTAGTTAGAACATGGATCTATAGTAAAAACTGGATAAGACATTCCCCTTCTGTCCCAGCTTGAGACTGACTAGTGGTTGTTCTAGGTACTGCAACTCTCGCAAGCTTGCGCCCAGAAAGAATTAACCCATAGAGCGCAATGCATTTTGGGGGGATTCAAACTGCCTATGTTTGGCTGACAGCGCATCTACAACTTCGGATTTTAGTCGGATTTTGTAGGGATGCTTTTCAATTTTCACAAAATACACTTTTTAACATTTTTAAATCCTCAAAGCGCCTGAAAGATAATTTTGTATGACTTAGCCAAACGCTCCACGCCGTGCACGTTACAGACGTCACACGGGTGGGAGGAGCTAGCTCGTACGGAGGAAGTAATACGGAAGAGAAATTTATTTTTGGGCCCATGCGCCAATGAGCACAGGTCACTGAAAACAATACAAAGCCATCTGGGGTTCACCATCCAGGTTTTATTCTAGTTCTATGAGCTGGAAGCAGAGCAGACTCACCTTTCATGACAGTGATGGGGTCCTCGATCTGCGGCTTTAAGAGGTTGATCCCCATCACTGTGGCCAGGTTCTCCACGTTCATCTTGTTCACTTTAGAATGCAGCTGGACCTCAAACAAGAACCTACACACAAAACCACACTTATTTCCAGTGGATGAGTCATAACTACGATAAGACAAGATAACAGGCCTTTTTCACTGAACCGCCTTGCTCATTCTAGTTTTCTAAGAAGTGCTGACCTTTGCGGTTGAATAAAAGCAACACTTTCTGAAAAAAGTCAAGTGTTTATTTATACTGACAGAGAATCCATTGAACTGAAAGTCTGTTTTGTTTAATGTGGATAAACCCAGTAATTACAGAGATATTAACCATAATCCCAGACAGATTTGCGTCCTTAAACAGCAAATTCCACCGCTGAGTTCCGACTTGTCCTCCACATCCATTTTAAAGGTGCATTGTGTAACTTTTCGAGTAGAGGGTCAGTCACCTGCTTGTTTCTATGGATGTGTCGTTGTTCTGCCTGGAATGTTTCACAGTGTGACATTAAACAACTCTACTTTACATTTATTCACTCAATTCAGTTTCACATCTCAAAAATACGGAGAAGAAACAGGCATTCTGGGTCACCTCTCCACAGATCTGGCCTGTAACTTGGTCTGGTTTGGTTTCCATGAAGATAGAAAGGTTTAATACCATGCTCTGAAACGTTCCAGATGAAGTAATAACATCTCCATGGACAGACCCTCCACCAGAAAAGTTACACCTTAAAACTTTGAGGGCTTCTAAAATGCACCATGAACACAACTGCTGCAGGCAAACTAAAGCAAAAAAAAAGTCAAGAAGATATGTACGCACAAACCTTTTTTTTTCCAACATTTTTGTACATTTGATCTTTTGTACTTGTCCAAACAGACAATTCCAGTGGGATTAAGCCTTGTTTTGTTAAGTTACACTTGACTAAAGAATGACACGCAAGACTGAAATCTAATTTATAGAAGGGTTTAAACCTAGATCAGGGTAAATAGTATTTTCTCAAGGCACTACAAATTAAAACTGGACGTATGCCAGGATTATACAAGGTGTTTAAAGACATGGTGAAGCGCTTATGAATGAAATTGTATAATGCTTTGCACTCACCGACAGATGTAACTGAGGAGGTTATAGTTCACTCGAGGGAGGAGGGTGATTTGTCTCTCCAATTTCTCCCATCCCTAAAAACAGACAAGTTTAATGATTACTTAAAGCCACAGAAGAAAATCCCACACACCAAGTCCCTGTAAAAAGTAAACTTATTGTGTGTTTTTGGTTCAAATGGGAAAATGAAGAAAGGAAGCCATCTTAAATAGGGTTTGGCTCACACCTACGGGAGACGCTACTCCCTGTTTTAACAGCTTGTCTTCTTAGTGGAAGAGGGACTTGCTCAGTGTCTGCAAATCTTAGCGAGCTGCTGTAGCTCAAAGCCACTGGACAGTGTCTTCCTGCAAATAGAGCTCTTATGTTCCTATATTCTTCATTTAAAATGCCTATGACAAATTGAACTACCATATTTTTCAGATTATAAGTCACACTTTTCATGGTTTGGGTATTTCCTGCGACTTATACTCTGGTGTAACTTATATATTAAAATGTTCACATTGACAGCCGCGAGAGGCTCTAGCCTTGTGTGTGAGTATCTGCTGCTCCTGTTACTCCTGTACCACTGTCACTTCACTCTACTGTGCATGTCTCCTGCAGAAAGAGCCTGTTCTGTCTGTATCATATCAGTCAATTGCACCATTACTTCTGTACCACTGAAAATGTTTAATTTAAGTGATTCAGTGACAACTGAAACCATCCTGTCGGGATTCAGAAAGGCTCGAATAGCTGCCAAAAAAGGAATAACTCGGAAATGGCTTAGATAGGAAACACCTACAACAAATGAATGGATTGATTGATATATAATATTTTTAAAATGGAAAGGATCACATTTAAGCTAAAGCTACAAAGTGATATATTTGAAAACTATTGGTCAAAATGGTTGCGGTATGTAACGACAAAAAGACCTGACTTTGTATGACGTAGTTATATCTGTATATATACCCCCACTGTCTTGTTTTGTTCTTACTGTTTGAATGTTGTTTATTTTTAATGTGTGTTCTTATCCAAGATGAAAACCCAATAAAAAGTGAATGACAAAAAAAGAAAGGCTGGAATAATTCTAACTGGAACTGATGCTGAGTCTGACGACAGCTACACAGAAGAGGAATCGGTGCTCCATTTACCTTCCGGAGGTCGCCGATTTGCTCAGAAGTGACACTGAGGATGAAGAATTCAATGGTTGTTGATTTGGTGATTTGGAGTGAGATGGAGAGTTTGTTAAACTTGTTCTGTTCTGTTGTTTATGTTATAGTTTATCTGAAGAACTGTTCATATGTGATGTTAAAAGTCTGTTGTTCTCTGTTCTGTTGTTATTACTAGAACTTGACTTTCAACATGAAATGTCGGTTTCTGGTCTCTGATTTTATAAAATAAATTTACACCAAAAAGTGCAACTCGTATATGTTTTTTTTCTACTTCATTAGGCATTTTTTGGCTGCTGCGACTTATAGTCCCAAAAATACGGTACTCATTTGACTAAGACATAATTGGCGTAAAAATGTTATTCATATTTACAAAAAGGTATTACCCATAGACTGTACATATAAATGGACATAGCTGTCATGCCGTCATGTTCCAAATAGGAAGATGCATACAGTTGCTTCTGGCTCCCATTGATACTGGAATATTCTGGCCCCTCTCTCTGTAACCGCTGCAGTAAGCCTTGACATCTTGGTCTTAAAAAGTTAACTCACTCTACATGATCCTGTTTATTTCTTTTTTTTTTTTTTTTTTTTCGCAAATTTGTCTGTTAAAAAATCCTATTCATAATATTGAGTCTGGCTCCAAATTCGCTCCTGTAACCACTACCACTGTGAGCTTCATTTAGGTGAAGTTGATGGTGTGTGGGATTCCTTTCTTCTGCTGCTCCTTTTTCCTGTCAGGTCTAAAATAAACTAAACCAAAAGTATGTGTTTTTTCTTTCAATTTGTATTTTGGTTGTACCAATACTCAAAAGTCACATTAACAGGACAGAAATGAACTTTTCCTGAACAGCTTTAGAATAATGTTGAGCTGTATCAGAACAAGTATAAGAGCACATGGACTAGTATACACCCATGGACCACTGTGCAACCTACCTGGACCACTGAGGGATTACACAGATATAAGGCCACATGGTAATATAAAAGAAATTTAATGTTGAAAATCACATTCTATTGTTTAATGAAAGAGTGTTTATAATTAACATTGTGGTACTGGAATCAATATTGAGCCTTGAGTCTTTGACAACACAAATGTATTGCACTGAAAAACATGGGTCCTAATTCTGAGAGGGCTTGCATCTCCACAGACCTGACTTGTAAAGGTTCATATGACAATCATATCCCTCAGTATGGAATAAAATTATGGTAAAAGTATGGTTTTAATTTTCTATTTCTTATTTTAAAACTGCTGCCTGTGATTTGCTTGTTTCTTACCCTGAAAACACATTTCACTTCTGTACAAACCTTTTGGCCGGGAGAGTCCAGGACGTTGGTACAGTCCAGAAAGTCCTGGTACTGGGTCCAGGGAACGACAGGCTGTGGCAGCTCACGGAGGTAGAGTTTGAGCAGTGACGCCACCGTGTGGACATCTGTGTCACTGCAGATAAAAAACATACTATTACAAACTGTACAACAATAGTGATAAAATTTCACATCTTTACATTGCATACATTATTTTACATGCATTCTGAAAAACATGATTGCATCATACTTTTTAAGTGCACGTTGTAAAGGTCAAATTCATTTGAATAAGATGAGTTTCACAAGACACTGCAGCCTTTGTGATTTGCAGTTTCTTTCAAATACAATAATTACCTCAACAAACAACAAAATATCCTGTCTACATAAGAAAGTGCTCACCCTGTAGATTAGCTCTGTACAAACATGTTCTGAAATGTGATCCTTGTATTAACTGGTGCAAAGAATCCTGTTGTTAAAACATAGATCCCAAATCGAATCGTAATGCTCATCAGAAAAATGCAAGTCAATATCTTCCCCAAATGATTCAGCCCCACATCAAAGTACAGACCAGTAATATTTAATAGAGACTTTTGTGTTTGTAATAGAGTGAGTTCTACAGTCTAGTCTTAGTAGTCGAAATCATCATTACAGTGTAGAATCTGAAAACCCCTAATATCTATTCATTTCAATATTAATTATGTAAAAACTAAAGTCTGTGTGAAACTGAGACTTTCACTACTGATGAAACTTTTAAACCTCTAATCTACAGGATTTTACAAGATTCAACTAATTCTTTCACCTTCCCACATTTGTCCACATTTCATAACAGACTTACATAAGAACAGGGCTCGTTTTCATTGGCCTGCACAAAAGATGTGGTTTGGGACATGTTCAGATCTACTCCCACAGTTTACACTGTGCCAAAAATCACTGTACTCTGCTGGAACCTCGTGAGGTCCTTAAAAACAGACATTTCTCAGTCTCTTGTCTTTGTTGTCTCTGGTGCCTCTGTTAAGTAACCGGGGCTGTCTGATGCCAAAGCAGGATGTGGTGATTTGCTCTTTCAGTGATCTAAATAAAAAGTCACACGCTAAGTGTGCCATTCATCTCAGGGCTTTGTGTTATGTGCAGAGAATCTCAGTCTAGTGTACCACACTATGTGATATATATTTATATACACACATACAGTATATATATGGACTAAACAGTAGTTTTACAGCAAGACCTTAAAGAAGACTTCTATTCTTATAAACTATGTAATTTGGGCATTTTAAAACACAATATTGATCTAAAATTACATAATAAAATAACAAGTCAGCTGACTTTTGCTTTAGAAAACTGCGGTACCCGGTGGGAGCTGACATCACTGTAAACATCATCGTCAGAGCTGAGTGGCTGCACATCTTACTCACAAACCACAGGATTTAAAAAAAAAAAAATCTGCTTTAAAGAGGACAATATGTGGATTAAATTGACTCTAAACAGCAAGTATTTGAACTGCAGAGGAATCTGCACCTCCTGATGGAGCTCATGCACAACTATTGTTACACCCAGTTTGAAAAGCACTGCTTTAGTTCTTTAGAGGAAAACTGTGTGTGTTCAGTACATTACCTGCAGACAGTTAAACTGTGTGTGTTCAGTACATTACCTGCAGACAGTTAAACTGTGTGTGTTCAGTACATTACCTGCAGACAGTTAAACTGTGTGTGTTCAGTACATTACCTGCAGACAGTTAAACTGTGTGTGTTCAGTACATTACCTGGGGACATTACCTGGGGAAAGAGTTAGAGGTAAAGTGTATGTCTTTAGTATATTACCTGGGGAAAGAGGGCCTCTCCCCAGCGTCGAAGGCCCCTCTAAACTGTCTTACAGCGTTGTCTTGCCCTGGGAGCCTGAAGATGCCCTCCTCACTCAGGCCGTGCTCCTGGATGAACTCCACACACTTCTGCACCAGGATGGGCACCATTTGAGGACCAAACCTCTGGTCATAGGCCACTGTGTCTGCCAGGCTCTTCCCAAACACTGTACAACAACAGTATAGTGTCAGCTCAAGGCATTTTCAAAACAAATTAATGAATCATATAAAAAGGCATTAGTCTTTTCCACACAAATGGGAATGTTTTGTGTTTTTTTTTACACTGATGTTGTGATTGACACAACCCAGGTCATGCATGTAATGCTGTTTCCAGACAAGTCAATAAAAAAAAAATCTAATTTAACACTGCAGTTTTGCACCAATTCCCTTCTACCACTGTTGACCTGCAGTGGCACCTGGTATTCCTAGCAGTGTCCCATCTAAGTACTAACCAGACCCAGCCTTCCTTAGCCACCAAGATCAGACAAGATCAGGCTTTGACAGGGTGTGGCCATAAAGTACATTACCTCCACTAGTGGGAGCTCCGATGACCCTGCGCAGACTGCGGACCCACTCCTCCATGTCGCCCTGGGAGCTGGCCATAAGCACATGTGAACATCTCTCTCTGTCCCCCTTGGCTCCTGGAAAATTAGAGACAGATTGAGAGAAATAATTATGATAAGAATCACACAATGCTGTGTATTGTAAGAGGGTATCACATGTTCTAATTGGTAACACTTTTTATCACTTTGAAAATACTCAAGAGTCCCCCACCCCCCCTTGCTCCCTGTGCTAAGTCACTGCCCCTTCTGAGCACTATTAACACAATCAGCATGCCTCCACTAATGAAACTATTTCACATCACATCAGTTTTGTGAAGTCATAGTGTGTTGTTTTGAAACATGCTTTTGTATATTTGTGGAGAATTGTCGTGCAGGAGCATGGATGACGTAGACTTGTGGGCGGAGCATTGGACAGAATCAGCCAACCGTGAGGAGAGTTCAAATAGGAACCGGGAAAAATGTTAGAAACTGTTTTAGTCTAATAACCCCTCTTTAAAATAAATATTAAATTAGTTTCCAACCGTACTTGGAACAATCTCGAACAGATATTTCCCAGCAGAATCGTCTGCATTTGGAGGCAGTTCATTGACTTTACTGAAGCGCAGCTGGATCACCCCCTGGATCAACACAAGACAAGTGTTACTCAAGACAAGTGTTACTGAATTTCCCTCTCACAGAAAGCCACAAAAACGTGTGCAATTCAAAGTGATAACTGGCAACAGAATGACAGAAACCAATTGGGGCTAATGCATGCAGCAAACACACAGGAAGCACAGGAAGTCTGTGAGTCACAGCATGTCTTCGCAGTTTTGATCAAAGATGATAAAATGCAGATAACAAGAAGCACAATGACCTCAAGTTAAAACAAGGAATAAATGTGTGAAGCTCCATCATGTGTGTATTTGCATTTTAGAGTAAAAAATTGGTTTCGTTTTTAGAACTTGCTTCATTCATTTCATTCAGCCTACAAACATTTTTAACAAAGATTTTAGGATTTAAAACAAGATTTAAGCTACAAAATTATTTCTACAATTAATTTGCAGTACATAATTTCATCAGGCACTTAGATTTTAGCTCAAAATAATAATAATAATAATGAAATAAATAAACTAAATTATATTACATTGATTGATTGGTTGCATTTAGTTTAAGGTGACAAAAAATGACTGAGTTAAAATAATTGAACTGTAGTTGGTAAGGTGTATTAAACTTGAAAATGTGATCACGATGCCATAGTGAATTACACCTTCATTTCTGCAATACTCAAAATAAAAAACACGCCATTGCTATACCTGCACAGTGCTCTCCTTGTCGTCCTTATGGTAGGTCAGGGTACTTCCTCTCAACACAAAATAACGCTGCTGCCAGTTCTTCACCAGTGACCTCTGCTGTTTCTTGAGCCACCCCGACATCAGCGGCCTCTCCATGGATGTGGGGGAGCCCGGCCCACCGTCCCCCGGAAACACACTCCTGGAGCGGGCTGCGAGAGACAAAAACAGCGCGGAGCTTGTTTAGAGTGAGAATGAGACAGACACCGCAGAAAAACAAGGCAAAAACTAGTGCAGCAGATGACTTCCTGTTCGGGGCATTAATAGACAGTGTGTGCTGATGGTGTGATAGTGGGTTCAGGGGGAATGGAAAACACTAGACAACTCAAAACCAAAGTGACATTCAAGATACAAACCGTCAACAATGCTAAATATAGTTTTAAATGGCTCACATTACACTACTTTCTAATCTGTTGTAATGTTTCATCATCATAAACAGACCTGGAGTTGTGTTTTGTTTCATTAACACATGTTAAACACACAAACCCTTCATATTTAGGCTGCTTTTCTCTCAAACTGAAAACTCTGTTCCACCTTGTGAAGTCATGTGGTAATATGAAGTGTGTCACTGTGTTTTTAAACTTCATACACCTCAACTAGAATGATTTGGATAGTTTCAGCCCTGGAACTGCCCATCTCTACTGAACTAAAGGTAAAAGGTAGTTGTTTTTTGCAATTATTTATTTATTGCATATATACAAATGATTATAAACATAAATACAAGAAAACAGATTAACAACATATCACAAAGATTGTTAAAATTCAGGGGGAAATGACTCATGACACTGGGTGTAGATAATGGATAGTATGTTACCATAACAAATTCTTAGTTTACAATAAAGTATGAAGTGTTGGTTGAAAGAATCATGGACTAATGGTGTTCCTTAGAAATTTGTTGTGAGTATCACATGCCAAAATAATGTGAAAATTCTGTGAAAAATACTGTTTCTCTAGAATTTGACCAATCTTAACAAATATTTACTAAAGCATAATTAAACTTTACTTTAGAAAAGCTCTCAAAAAGACTTAACTAACAGATAACAGCTGCCTGAATGATCATTGCAATGCAGTATTACTAGGGATGTAACAATAACTGAAATATCGTGATATCGTATCATCAGAAGTCTCGCAATAATATCGTGGGCTGTCACAATATATCGAATAACAAGTTTCTTTGTTTAAATGCATGGTTTTATAGCAACGACAGCTTAACAACATCAGAAACTACATATCCCATGATTCATTTCAGCGCAGACAACATGAAGAGATATGATTTTTACTTAAATTCTTGGGATTATGACAGAAAAAATTCACACCAAAATCTTAAATCTTAAATCTTTTAAAAGCAAACAAGTGTCCTATCTAGAATTATATTAACCTCAAATTAGTATCGCAATAAATATTGTACCGTCAAATGCATATTGTGATAATATCGTACCAAGAGATTTGGATATTGTTACATTCTTAAGTAAGTAAGTTTTTATTTATATAGCGCTTTCACAGACATTTTTTGTCAAAAAGATGCTTTACAGAGCATTACATTCAGCATTATTCATTCACTCTATACCTGGTGATGGTAAGCTACTGTTGTAGCCACAGCTGCCCTGGGACAGACTGACAGAAGTATTAGTATTACACACACATACACATACACACAAATAGTTAATGAATAACTGAGAATTATATAATTATGAGTAACTATTTACAGCACAGGCTAATTAAGTGAGAGTTAAATGCTAATTAAGATAGTAATTAAGTAGTTACTAAGCGTGAATCATTATTATTTAAGTGTTTGTTCATTATTAAGTCTACGTGAATCATTATTAATTAAGTCTACGTGAATCATTATTTATTTATTTGTTCATTATTAAGTCTACGTGAATCATTATTATTTAAGTGTTTGTTCATTATTAATTAAGTCTTTGTTCATGCTTTATTAAGGAAAAATAAGGTGTAGTTATTATAAAGTGTTACCCAAAGATTACATGAAATAACGGTAATGAAATGATTCAGATTGATCATTTAAGTTATTTATGAATTGATGTAATTAGTAAAAAGGAGCTGCTAACTTGAAAACTACAGCTTCATGACATCACAAGGTGGAACAGAGCATTTTGAGGTTTGGGGATGCAGACAGATTTACTCAGACATGTGTGAATGAAACAAAACACAGCTCCAGGTTTGTTTTTGAGGAGGAGCTCGCAAGAATCAATTTTGTGTGACATAGGAGCTTTAAATCAATTAGAGTTATCCACTTTTTGTCCTCCTTTGAATCATTTCTTCTTTAGAACTACAGAGGAAATGAGTAACAACATACTAACATGACTTAAAGCTCCATTTTGTGTCATACATGACCTTTAAGCACATATTTTTTCTTGAATAACTGCTTACACGTGTTCTGGATGTTGCAGCATGGACAAACTTCTAAGAAACGCAAAACTGGAGTTGCTTTTCATTCACTCCTCATGTGGCGATGATAAGTTACTTCAACTATAGCCACAGCTACCCTGGGGTGGACTGACAGAAGCAAGGCAGCCACTCACACAAGTCATTACGATCAAAGTGTCTTTTCCAATGAAACACAAGATGCAAAAACAGTGCAGATAAATGTTTGGGTTTGTAGGATTTCAACACAGAACCACGGCACTTTCCACACAGCGTCTTGCTAAATCATGATTTCTGATGTAAGTGGAAAGAATATGTGTTAATATACTATAAATGAAATGCAATATGAACTTTTGATATTAGCCCATATTAAAACTGTAAGCATCTGAGAAATACAACACCACCACCAAGAGTTTCTGAACACGTGATGTTTACTTTTCTAGTGGTGGGTCTGATATCCGTCTATTTCCACCAAGACAAGCTGAAATAGATATACAAGATTAAATGGAAACTTCCAGCCAAAGTAAGAACAGAACCTCCTCCAGAAAAGTAGCCTTTAAAGGTCCTAGAAAGGTCATAAAAATACCTGGACTTTTGTTTCATTCACACATACAGAAGCAGGGGCGGAGGAGCCAAGGGGGCGCTAAGGTCTTCAGTGGAGATTCTCATTTAACATGTTAATTTGAACTTTTAACAATACCTACCATGTTTGTTTTGCTGTTTTAAACGAGTTGAAATGTAATGAGCACTGTGTAATGAGTCATTACATCGTCTAACCGCATCCGGTCATTTTTCCAAAAGCAAAATCTGTCATAGAAGCCTCAGAGAAGTTAACATCAGAATTCACCTGTGTAGATAAATGGATGATCAAGTCAAGTCTATTACTGAATACTAAAAAAACTGTTTGCATGCTATTTTCAAAAAGTCCATCAAAGTCATGTTTAAATGTGTTGCTGAGGGGAGAGGGACTCCAGTTTGTAAATGAATTCAAGTATCTTGGTGTTAGGGATGGGCATGATTAGTCGATTAATCGATAATTGATCATTAAGAATTTCATCGATTACGTTCATTTTAATCGACAAACCGAATGTAGGTTGCTGTGCGTATCGTGACCAAACAGGTCTGTACATGTGTCTCTCTGCACTCAGAAGGAGCGAGACACAAACAGTGGGTCAGTCTGCAACGTGCCGAAGTGCAGATGCGTATTTAACGATGACTTGTATAAGAAATTCCACGCTTTCCGTTGCGTTCAGGACAAGTGTGAGTCCATGTGCACAGTGTACAAAGCAGCACATATGTTTCGGTGTCCAGTGGGAAAAAGCTTTACCAGGTGAGAGTCGCGCAATGTCGATGACGAGTTCCCACCTCCCTCCCCCCGTACGCTGTCCTGGTTTTGACAAACGTAAATATGGTCACACTAACCTGTATTCCACTGAGTCGTGTCGCATCAGCGGCACAAGAGCCGTTTTTTTTTCTTCGCTTAATTTATGCAAATTAGTCATGTGGTTTTAAGTTTCGTTTCTGTGAGAGTTGCACAAAGCTGCATTAAACACATTATAATGTCAAACAGGCTGATGTGGCTCTAGAGTGGTTATGGTTTATATGTCGTAAAGTTTAATTTATTTATGCAGATTAGTAGTGCAGATAGTAATAATAATGATGATACATTTTAATATAAAAAACGTTAATGATTAATCGATAATCGATTGTTAATTCTCCCGATGATCGATTAAGAAAATTTAATCAAATGCCCATCCCTACTTGGTGTTACCTTGGACTCCACTTTAACTTGTAAAAAACATTTAAAAAATTCTTAATTTTAATATTCACAATTTTAAGTAAATTAGATCATCATTGCCAGAAAATGCAGCTAAAATGTTTCTCCACAGCAGGATTTTCTCTCACATTGAATACTGCATTACTAACTGGTATAACTGGTCAGCATTTTACAGGAAATCTTTATCTTTTCATCATTGTCTCATACTTCAGAAGTATAATATCTTAAGTTTTGGAAATTTTCAAAAATTTAAACTGGCCTGCTCAGTATACACGGTCTTAAATGGACTTGCTCCACCACCTCTGGGTGACTTCATAAACCCCAAGTCCAGGACTAGTGGTCAGGTAACAAGAGCCTCTACCAGAGGCGACTGTGCAATACCCTATAGATGCACAACATTCAGTCAGTAGATTTTATCAGTCAAGGGCACAGAAATCTGGAACAACATCCCAGCTACAATAAGAGACTCCACCACATTCAGTTCATTTAAAACTAATCTGAAACGATGGTTTAAGAGAAACCAGATCTGTAACCACTAGTGTTATGCTCCTATGTAAATGTCAGTGTTGTATGTCATGCTTGTGTGTTTGTCTATTGTGATGTGTTTTATGTTCTTATTTCTTATGTCTCTATCTCTCTGACCTGCCAGGAACTACAGATGAATTTACAAGTATATGATCATGAATATGCATTTTCCCTTTTAAATAAATAAAACAAAACAAAAAAACTAAAACTAAAAACTAATTCTGTCATGAAAATGTGGATTCCATTTGAACATTTTTAGTGGAGACTGGATGTACTATGAAAGTGGGCTAGAAATCTTTGGGGGAGCATGGGCTATTCTAGGGGAACTAGTGCCCCCAAAGTAGAGCTGCTCGATTATAGAAAAATCATTATCACAATTATTTAAGGTCAATCATTATCATATTTTTTAGTTACATGATGCATTTATTTCATTGAGCAATTCTCTCTCTCTCTCAAAAAAAAAAA